CCGTACCCCCTCCGGTTTTCGGAGGGGGTTGGGAGCGGGGGTACGACGTTCTCGAAACGCCGTACCCCCGCTCCTTTCGCCTCCCGGCTACCGAAGGGGGTACGGCGTTTTCAAAACGCCGTACCCCCTCGGCCCTGTATGTGAACAGGGTCGAGGGGGTACGACGTTTTAAAAATGCCGTACCCCCTCCGGTTTTCGGAGGGGGTTGGGAGCGGGGGTACGACGTTCTCGAAACGCCGTACCCTCGCTCCTTTCGCCTCCCGGCAACCGATGGGGGTGCGGCGTTTTGAAAACGCCGTACCCCCTCGGCCTTGTACGTGAACAGGGTCGAGGGGGTACGACGTTTCGAAAACGCCGTACCCCCTTCCGGTTCTCGGTGGGGGTGGGAGCGGGGGTGCGGCGTTCTCGAAACGCCGTACCCCTGCTCCTTTCGCCTCCCGGCAACCAATGGGGGTGCGGCGTTTTGAAAACGCCGTACCCCTCTGCCCTGTACGTGAACAGGGTCGAGGGGGTACGGCGTTTCGAAAACGCCGTACCCCCTCCGGTTCTCGGTGGGGGTGGGAGCGGGGGTGCGATGTTCTCGAAACGTCGTACCCCCACTCCGGCCCCCACCCGGCAACCGAAGGGGGAACCGCGTTTCCAAAACGTCGTACCCCATCGCCCCTGTATGTGAGCAGGGTCGAGGGGGTGTGGCGTTTCGAAAACGCCGTACCCCCTCCGCTTGTCTCTGGGGGGTGGGAGCGGGGGTAAGACGTTCTCGAAACGTCGTGCCCCCTCCGCCCTATATGTGAACAGGGTCCAGGGGGTTCGGCATTTCGGAAACGCTGTACCCCCTCCGGTTCTCGGTGGGGGTGGGAGCGGGGGTACGGCGGTCTCGAAATGCCGTGCCCCCTCCAGTTCTCGGAGAGGATAGGGAGGTGGGCCGCATGGCGTTCCCAGAACGCCGTAGCCCGGCCCCGTAGGTGGACAGGGCCGACGGGTGCGGCGCTTCGAGATCGCTGTACCACCGCTCCCTCTCGTCTCCGATGACCGGATGGGGTGTGGCGTTTTCGAAACGCAGTGCCCCCTCGACCTTACTTCACGGAACCGGACGGGGTAGGACGTTTTCAGAACGCCCTATTATACCATGCGACACTCGAATGCATCCGCGACTCACGTGAGGCGATGGAGGAAGGTTTGAAATCTAAATGCGATCCGTTTCTTCGTTTGGAATGTGCCTGCCATCAGGAGGAGCATCTGCTGTCCCAGAAAAGAGAGTCTACAACACGTGCACAATCTATAGAGATAGGGAGTGGGCCCTTGATTGGGTGGGGGGGCTACACGAGGCGGGATGTGGGGCCGCTGTGTTTCTGAAGAACGCCTCGGGTGACGACTGGTTCTGTGTTGGAGGGATTATTAAATTCGAGGATGAGAGGGTGGACGGGAACGGACGGAAGTTCAGGAGGTTTTTCCTCACAACGGTGTTCGACGAATAAGGAGTGGACCATGCGAAGGCCGACCGTAAAGTAAGCCTTGATTACAATCTGTTCAAGGGGTATGGCGGTAAGGCTATTACCATGAAAGCCTATGATGTGTCCTTGAAAGAAGACGGGAGTGTGTTGACGATGCTTGGCCCCGTTAAATTCCTCGCCAAAACGAACGGCTACAGGAGATCCGGAAACAGTCCCACGGTTGAGGCCGACCATCGTATGTCCCCGACATTCGTGCCTTTTGACACGCCGGACGAGGATCTTCCCGGTATAGCAATGATAGAGAGACAGAGGACGCAACATAGTTTTCCAACGCAGCAGACGTCAGCGAGTGGGGGCCGGCGCCGCAACAAACAGAGCCAGCCGCGTCGTCCACCAGGCGAGGATGAGCATGGTCCTCCTATGGGTTCGTCCCGCCGGATGGAGTATGTTGAACTGTCTCAACCGTCCAGCCGGCAAGACCAAGGCACCCCTGTCATCACATACAAAAGGAAGACCCTGGCAACTCGTCCCTCTCCCAGTTGCCAGAAGGACGAAGGTGGTGCGTCCAGGAAGGCGGCGCTGCGGGAGATAAGCGAAGGATTGGACGCAGACACTCAAAGCTTCTCAAGAGGCGGTCGCTGAAAGTGTGAAGAAACGAAAAGGGTCCGCGTCGACAAGGGCGACAAAAGTGGAGAAAAGTCCACCGAAAAGAAAGCAGATGGTGGATGAGGGTGACTCTGGAGAGGATGCCGAAGGGGTTCCTCCAAGAGATGTCTCGGAACAGACACAACCTTCCGCCGACACCCGTGATGAAGCCATCGACACAACACGGTGCTTCTTCTTGGAGTTCGATGAAGATGGGTTTGCAAAGAAGAAAAGGGAACACATTGAAGTGGACGTCACGAAGATCTTGCCAATCCCTGAAGGTGACATCCTCTTCAACCATAGAACATTGGACGAAACGTTGGTGCAGTCCATATATGATGCGATCCATCATGCGGCCAAGGAAACCAACGGGAAGTGGGATTTCATGACTTTCCAATTGGCTCCCATTGTGCCCAACACGGACGGTTCTCAAGGAAGACGGATCACACCGGAGCAATTCGACGTCGAACTGGCTCATACATATAACTGGTATGCTGTTGCTGGCCAGCACACGACTGAGGCAATGAACAGACTCATTAAAGACAAGTCACCTGTCGAGAAAGTGTATGGCTTGAGGTCGTACTCTCACATACAAGTTGTCTACTTTGACGATGACAGAAAAAGAGGATATCCGTACGTCTCGACGTTCGACAACACGAGGGAGGAGCGTTCGATCCCGAGATCGTTTTCGTCATCTGTGCGTCAAATTAGAACATTTTGGGATAAGAGGAATGGCCGGATCCGTCCACCAGGGACCGTGTCCGCGAATGACGTCGAGGGAATGAAACGGAAAAAGAAATGGGAAGAGTTCATGAACGCCGCCTGCAAAATTACACCTGATTCCGGTCTCATGAACTCGTCCCTGGAGAACGACTACTGCAAGGACTGGACGAACAAGATGCGCAGATACATGAATCTTGCGCAATGCGGCGAAACAGTATGGCCACTAGTACAGAAATTCTTCGACATGTACGAGAAGGGCCTATTGCCGCGAGTCGACGGTGTGAGATACATCGACCTGCCGGGGAAAGTGAAAGGGAGGCTGCCTGGGCAATACTTCCTCAAGGACAACTCCGACAAAAAAGTCATGTTCCACTGCATCAAGGCCAGGAAGGGGCCACAAGGCGCAACGGTGTCTATACTTGACGCCGACAATCTTCAAGCTGTTCGGCGATATGACACCGAGAGAGAAGCAAGTGGCGCTTCACCACACGATGCGTGGTGATGTCATCGTGACATCACGTTCGGTACCTCGTGGTAGATGCAACATGGCGGACCTGGTTAAATATACTCGGCGTGAAAGATATATGGTCCGAATGTTTAACTACATATTGTTCAAGGCCGAGGGGAGGTCAAAAGAAGAGTGGAGCGCTGACTTTTTCATCGGTTATACGACCATCTTGGAGAGGTACAGCAAAAACGGCCTGACGGACGAAAAATGGACCGAGAAACGCGACCGCATCCCTGACGACAAGGCGAGGAAGGTGTCGAGGCGTTTGGGCGCTCCTGATGAGATTAATGGTGAGAACGGTGCGGGACTGGAGGCAACCCAAGGCATGTACAAGGAAACCCCGTTCCACCTCAAGTGTTTCATCTACGAGGCAATCGACTGCTTGGACGACCTAAGAGCGGAGGTTAATTGGATATCCTCCAGTGCTTGTCACATATTTTGGGAAGTGGGGAAGAGGATTACCACGATCCTGCCATTTGAAATAGAACCGAAGGGAGTGCTCACCGACAACGAGGAGGTTGTTGGTACGGCGAGGGGGATGAAGATACGGGCAACCATTCTTGATATGTCAACATCACCGAAATGTGTTCCGTGGGATGATGACGCCTTTTCCAAACTGTACGCTTTCCTCATGACATGCTGTGGCGAAAACTGGGCCTTGATCATTTTCGCGCCRATGAAACACMAGAAACAGGTGATGCAGAGTGTGTACAACTGGGATGATGTTGAGGTGCTCACAGGGTCATAGTACAGACACTATACACCTTCGACAACCTTGAACAAGTACGGCAATATTGCAGTTTGGTACACTGACATGATGGTTATTGTCCTCCACGCCGAGAACGGCAATTTGGACAATATAACGGTTGCGCCGAAATTGCGAGCCGAGTTGATAAATTTGAACGTTGAAGAGGGTGAATTTGTAAGGTGCTCAGGGGAGTGTATCGACGTGGAGGGCGACACCGACGCGGTTTATTCTTGGATGGAACGAGAGCCAGCACGTCTCCGAAAACTGTGCAGCTCGTTCATCAGGGAGGACGATGGCGTGATGCTGTTGGGCAGGGCGCATGCGGGACTGATTTGGGAACTCGCTCGCGCCGGACACCACGTGTTTGCGTGTGACGACACGACAAAAGAGCTCACATACCTTTTCCAGTTCTTGGACTTTTATGTGAAGGATCCGAGGAACAAATGCAGGTTCGAAAAGCCCCAAGTCGAGCACCGCAAGGACCGGGACATTTACTATAAGCTCGGCAGGAGGAGGGAGAAAGTGTGGGCTTACTTGCTCGGTGACGCTCCACGGACGACGGTTGATAACGACTACGTCATCAGGAAAAGTGAACTCGAGATCAAAATGAACGAGTACCACGGATCGCACATGGGTGCTTTCCACATGTTCGTCGCGCGTTGTGAGCATCTGTATTTCAATATGAAGAAAAAAACATTGTCATGCAGGGACTATGTGGACTTGGCATGTAAAGCGGGGAACTTCAACAACATCGATTGTGATGAAGACACGTCAGACTCTGACCTGGACGTTCCGTCGCACGCGACACGACGTTCGGCGCAGGGAGCACGTGCCGAGGAACCGCAAGGGAGCACCAACGCAGAAGCGGAGAAGGCGAGGTCGAGTTTAGGAGCGACACATGCTAGTGAGGGAGACGTGGAACATAGAATGAATGCAAGGGGAGAAAAGAATGGTGTACCAACGAACCTGGTGGGTGCGAGTGAGGGAATTGTTAACTCATGGGGCAACACAGGGGGAGGAGAGAATGGGTGTGAAATGACCTCGCCGACAGCTGGACCATCGACACATGCACCGCAGGCCGAGCAGCGAACGCTCACGTCGATGGACACAGATGAAGATGAAGACATGGATATGACAACAGTCATGCCGAAGCTCGTGCCAGGAAAACCGTTACCTCAAGGCTTTGCTCAAGACCTTTCAGTGCCATACTTGCTGCAAGACAAGTACAAGGAGTCATCAGAGGAGGATTGGGGTCATCATATTCTCTGGCATGAGGGCGTGTTCGAACCGTGTGTGTTTGCGGGCAAGTGGCAAATGGTTGTGAAGACAAGAGACCGCGGGTGGGTCGCGAAGGAAAGAAAGGACGCTGTGATATGGCACAGCGTGACGGAGACGCAACGTTTTCGGCGGGTTGCACAAGAAAATGTCGGTGCAACCGAGGTGGTTGTAGCGGCAAAGGCGAAAGCTTTGTTTGAGCAACTGCGTGCGAACAAACAACTAGAATTCAACACAAAGTTCTACGACCTTGCATCAAGTGTGTCGTACGACTCCATCGATTGGAAAATCAAACAAGCGTCAGCAGTGCAAGGAATCGATAGCATCACCTCTCTGAAGACTCAAGACGTCATCGCGTCTAACACCATCGTTGCGATGGCCAGAGGGGATGCAGGCTGCGAAACGGACACACGTGCGAACGCAGGTCACATACAGAATGAACAGTTGCGAGCATGTATTCAACAAAGCACACAGAGAAGCGCAATGGGGGATTCCACTATGATACGCAAGGACAGCGACGACATGGAGTCGGGCACATTGATAGAGCCGCCAACGCGCGGGGTCGACGATGGGGCAACAATCGTTGGATCTTTCGGGTCTCTTGTCGCGACAGTGGCGGCGAGGCAAGGCGTATCTGAAATGATGGAGACCGATGCGGGCCAGGAAGCTGAAAGCCAGACCGTGAAGGTGGCGCCAGAGCAGGTGGCGACAACAACAAAGGAGACGAAGAAAGGTGAAGGATCTCGCGAACATATTTCCGTAATAGATATGAGATCGGCGAGTACGGGCGAGGATATGATCCAAGATAACGACCAGAAAGATGATCACGTCGCACCACGAGTGGAAGGTGACGACGAAGAGGACGCGCAACGACCGAGACGGTCAAAGAGAGCAGTAATTAAGAAAACTGTGTTTGATGCGTAGGAAAGTCTTAGACGGGCATGGGCGTTTACACGTTTCAGGTTATATTGATGTGTCGCCACAAATCATGATGCGATATTCACCGGTCTACGCATTTCTTGTTAAATTGATAGGTAGTCGATGGGTACTATGTTAGAAAACTATGTTAGACAGGAATGGGTGTGAACGCGTTTTGGGTTATATTGTTGTCTTAATGAAAGTGTTATTGTGACACTGCAATTCTCGAAACTGTAGTGCCGATAATAGAGGGTGCCCCATCTCGATACGTATGTGTGTGTGTGTGTGTGTGTGTGTGTGTGTGTGTGTGTGTGTGTGTGTGTGTGCATCTGTGTGAGTCTGTCTCTTATACACATCTAGATGTGTATAAGAGACAGTTCATGGACGATCCATATACGTGGATCTGCGGCTCCTTGATTGTTGCATTCTCCGAAAATACCGACATGTATTTCAACCTAACAAACCCTCCCGG